CTGAAAGTAATTGATAAGTTTTGTTTTCCAGATTAGGTTTTTTTTCCAGCTCCACAAAGGTGCTTTCCCTCTTATCTAAACCGACACAACTGTCCTCTCAAACAAAGGAGGAAGTTACTGGCTGCTTCAGACTGATGCTAGGGAAACAAGTCAATGAAGTAAGTAATTTGTAAGTGTTGATGTTAAAGTTCAACCATTTGTTTTGTTTTATTTTTTTCTTTGTCAAGCCATTTTAGTTCTGGTGATCCAGTATCTTGACCACATTCAAATAAGAAAATATCCTGGTTCATTCCAAACTTGAACGTGGTTTTGTTAGTATGTGCATTCAGGAGGAAGAGGAGGAGGAAAGGTCTTGTTGTACAGTGCATGGGCCTAAACTTGTTCTGTCTTTATATCTGGGATTTATTCAGTCTTGCATTACAGTCCAGGGTTTTTCTGCTGCTGTAATATGTCTTGGTTTATTGCAACTCCTACATTATTTAAAGGTTCACTAGATAATTTTACTGTTTTTGCTTTGGCTGGTATATTGCAAACTGGTCATAAGCAGATGATGCAACTAGGCCAAGTTACAGGTCAGATCTGTGGAGAGGTGACCCTGCCTAGTGTTTGTTTGTTTGTTTGTTTGTTTAAGTATTTTAAGCTATAAAAGAACAATAAATGCTATATTAAATTGCATATTGTGGAACATTCCAAACAAAACAGAAACGTCATGATGAAATAAGCAGGTAGGGCCACTTCAGAAAACGTATGAGCACCTTTAAGTCCTGTTAAGTCTTTAAGTCTTAAGTTTTTTGTTTGTTTTGTTGTTATTATTATTCAGTAACACTCACACTGCATGTAGCCTACAAGGTTCATTTCAAGTGATGTGCATGTGAAAGTTGTGAGTGAAACCTGACTCTGTTTTCTGTATGTGGGCAGTAAGTGTTTTCCACCGCTCATGATGCGAATATAAAACCACTTCCACTGAGCAAACTGCAGCCTGACGCTTTACGCTTCACGCTCCACTTTGACCTTTGATGCAGGATCATACTGGGTGATGAGAAGCAGACAAATGTTCATCAAAAACACTTAACACCTAAACTCCACTCAAAACCACATTTCAAATAGATATCCACAATATCCGGCTTAGCGTTTTAATATTAAAACAGATTGCTACATTACTCGCATCAGCCCCGTTCCCCGAGTTTCTTTCCATAGGATGAACATGAAGGCAGCAGGAAGGGAGGAGCAAAAGGAAGGGAAGTAAACAAAATTCCAATTTCCCTAAAACTTTAGACTGTGGTAATACCGTTATGGAAACTGTTCCGATAATAGTGACAAAATAAAAGTGTCTCCACGTCTGATGTACATGTTGGTTTGGTTACGTGTCTGAGGAAACAGGACAGACGCGATAAACTGACGACAAGTCGCGAAGGGGGAGACGTAGTCCTGTTTTATATGTTTTATAGGCTATAGTTTATTCCATCCAAATAAGACTGTTCTGGGGAAAACGTGGGAAATGCAACAAATTATAAAGTGCAGTGTGAAATTTAATATATGATGTTAAACGTCTTATTTAAACAGTGTACATGTAGGTCTAGTACTTCCCCAACAACATCTTCTACATGGACTAAGAAGGCAGGGCGTAGTTATCCCCACAGACGGTACTGTACGTAGTCAGATGAGAGGTCTGAGAAGCATGTCGTCTTTGTCCGCCCTGAAATGGATTTATATTTGACATCAGTTCTGTTAGTTTTTGGTGAGTTATATCCATTTACGCACTTGGATTTCGAAATGTATGTAACCCATGCCTATAAAACGAGATTATATAGCGTCACTTTTGTAATATCTGTCTTCACTTTAAGCCTAGCGTGAGTGCGTAGATGTGAGGCTTTGTTGAAATCAACATTCATGGCTCTAAGCATTTCTTCATCTTATACAAACGGCTATTCCATCGTAGAAATTCCAGCTAGGACATCACTGAACCCTCAGACACACCTTAAAAAACTCACTTTGTGGAAATTATATTTGTAGGCCACATCTGAAATTCATTTGGCTATAAAAAATATTTGCTCAACCAACATCTCACCTTATGATCTACTTTTGTAAATGTGTATTTTCAAATATTTTTAACCCCTAAATGTCTGACTTTCTGTCATGAAAGTCAATGCATTCCATATTCCAAAACTCACAAAAAGTGAAATATCTTCCATATGTTTTGATGCAAACTGGTTTCATTTTAAGAATCTGATGTATGTAAAAGTTTATCAGGTTTAATTTTGGCACTGAATTATCACTAGTATATTTTGGTAGTGGTAAGGTCTGTGTGTTAATGCCTTTTTTTTTTTTTTTTTTTTTTTTTTTTTTTGCTATTTCTTTTTTCAGTGTTTTTAATTTGTTTAATCAAGCTCTCACCTAATGACGCAATCTGGATTATTTAATTTTATTTTACTGCTGGTTATTAAATCCTGGTGTATGTGGAAGGTTAGCAGCAGTAATTGTGTATCTTGAACTAACTGAGTCAAACACGTTGTGGGAGCTTTGTACAAAAGTATTCCCATTGGAACCCATTCAAATCACTTTTTTGATATTCTAATGCATGCACTTTCACTTTCTTTACATCATTTGGACTTTAAATTAATGTTCTGAGGTACTTTTTGCTGGATATTTAGAGCAAAATCCTACTTTTCCCAAAATTGCTTAATAATTCAAAATGTATACCAATGATATTCACTGCAAAAACACATAAGCTGTTAAATAGCCTGAATAAAAGCCTAGTTGATGGAGAGAGGACCACATGCATATTTTACTCTAATACCTCATCATAGCCAATGTTTGTATTCAGTACTTTTGCACTTAAAGTAACAGAACAGTAATAATAATAGTAGTAAACAATAGTAATAGCAGTATTTTGGTGTTATTACTATTAGTATTATTGTCTTTGATTGATAACATGACCTAACAAGTGTTGTGTATGTTTTTATTACAGTGTTGGTCCAATGTGAAGCTGAAGTGAGAGTTAACCTAACAGCTGTTGTGGGATCATCTATAACATTTCCAGACCCAGTGAAGGAGAGAGGATTTTTTTCATTTGGATCAAAGACCATTGCTTTTGTTTACAATGGAGTCTTTGAGATTGAAGAAGGCATTTACACAAACAGACTTCACTGGAACAGCAGCACTGGACGCTTCACTCTCTCAGATCTACAGAAAAATGATTCTGGAGTTTACACCATTGACTCTAAAAAAGGAAATGTGTTTAAATATTATGAACTCAAACTTTATAGTGAGTAAACATTTTAACATATTTTAATTATTATTACAGCAGGAAACTCCTCTTTGAATCACCATGGAGTGCGGAAGCAAATTGTATTATGGCAGTCACTAAGTTCATCCGCTTATTTGTTGGTAGACAAACGGATAATAAGACAATAGCTGGAAACAAAAGCACGTCTGAAAATCTCATGAAGTCATTTACACGTGAATTCTACAGAAGTTGATAGGTTCAGACCTGACCATAATCTAGATTGTACCAGTTAAGACTTGTATGAACCCAGAGTCTGCAATGCTTTAAATTGGAAATGAGAATGTTTTTGCCTTGGCTCAGTTTTACTTTCATTATTTCTGTATGAGCCAAATCCAAGCAAACAGGGATGTACACATTATAGGGATGTACACATTGGCTTAAGAACTGTAGACCGGTTGAACTGCAAATATTTGTCTGTGTAAACCCTCAGGCGTCCAGGTAGAATCCACAGCAAGAGTCAGATTCAATTTGATCAGAACTGAAGAAGCTGCTTGGATGTGCTGCAAAACATCTTCACTAAAATGTTTTGCCCAGTTGACAGAATTTAATCTTTCTTTTGCTAAGTAAATATTTATGAAGAGGTTTTACTAAGTGACACTATGTTGTTTTATATTCAATTATCACCATGACCTGGTCTTGTAAGTCAAGTTTTTTTGTATAATTTTGAATGTTTTGGGTGAAGCCTATGAATTTGAAGCATGTAGAGCCAGTTTCCTGTTTGACACAAAGAGGGTCCAAAATGGTTCAGTCACAGCCTTGAAATGTAGATATAATTTCCTCTCAAACATCCTTGTGTCGTTCAAATAAACTAGACAACATTTTTTACTTTTGATTAATAGTGTTTAGTGCTGCGCTAGTTGATCCAGCAGAATCACTGGTGTTTCTCAGTCCTCTGTGTTATTTCAATCTTTTTTACATACCATGATAATTATGATACTAATGATCAATGCATTTCTCTAAATGGTTAATCCACCTGTCAACTGTGGAATTTAGAGACAGTTACAGAACATAATAATAATAATAATAATAATAATAATAATAATAATGTCTTTGCTTTGGAAAAGCGTGTAATTTGCTGGTCAGTGATTACCAGTCCTACAAAAAAAACTGTCTCAAAGCCAAACCAATTTTGCTTGACAAAAATCAGGTATTGCCACTTTAAGCTTTTGTTTTGATATGGACAGACCACTGACTGGCTGATCGTTGTTCAGGCGTTTAAAGTATTGGGGTAGCATGTATTCTTGGCTGATCGGGCTAACCCAAAAGGCCAATTTCAATTAAAACCTCTAAATGAATGTTGTTTATTGCATCTTTAAATTATTAATTCTTTTACATTTTCAGAGCCATTGCCACTTCCAGTTGTGTCCCGTGTGAATGTGAGCTCTGACAGCTGCACTCTTCAGTGTTCAGTGAATCTCACAGAGCAGACCACACTGAGCTGGTTCAGAGGAGAGCAGCGTGTGTCCAGCAGCAGCTCTGCAGTGCTGCTCCTCACTGTGCAACTGCAGGATAACACCTCAGAGTACAAATGTGTGGCTCAAAACCCCGCTGATGAGAAGACTGTTATAGTTAATATCACCAAAAAATGTCAATTTGTGGAGTCACAATCAAATGAGGAATAAGGGAAATTGTAAGATTTTAAATATTAAACACAAAACAAAACAGTAATTGCTTATAAATAATGTTGCCTCTTTCTTTTGTCTTGTTTTGCTAGCTGCTGCCATTATCATTCCCATTGTCCTTACTGCACTCATCATCCTGTGTTTTGTGATCGTTGTTATCAAGAAGAAGTGCACTCAAAAGGGATCAACATCATCACAAATACAAGGCAGGTATTTCTAATTTACTTTTACATTTGACTAAAGACTAAAGTGAAGAGAGCGTGTGAGAACGCTCATTTCAGATCGTGTCAAACCACATGTAGGACAGATGCACGTTTTACATGAGACTGTGGTCAGAGAGGTTTCTGTTCCTGGACAAAAGCGTGACAGGAAACTTAACCACGTTAAAAAATATCCTCAAATACAGCGACCAGTGTCTTTTGTCTTGGTTATATGAGATGTCAATGGTGGGAAACATGCAAAAAAATTTAGATTTTCTTTGAACCAGATCACAAGGTTTGTTGAGTCATCTGAACAAACTTCATGTGAGAAGTCAATCGATCAATAGGAGGAATCAATGAGTAAAAGTGTTGTTTGCGCATAAAGCTGAGTTAAACAAAGAAGCTGATTACAGCATCACTAAAAACAGCAAATTACCAAAGGACTAAAATCACAACTACATTTTTGTCTCCATATCTTCTTGTCTATGTAATTTTACTTGTGTGTATCTTTTATTATCAAAGCACACCACCTGGAAATTAAACTGCATATGACATGTTAGACTACTTATTTCACTAAAACATAGTTATATTTAAGATTTTATTTTTAAAAGATCAAAATCTTTTTTCTACTTTGGTGAAGTTTATTATTTTTACTCTTGGTTTAACACGGGCAGAAGATGTGACATACATAGAGGGCAAACTTCTGTATTAAAATACTTTTACTCTCCATTATTTTTTTGGAGACGTAACTGATATAAAATTATGATAAATATTTACAAGAGGCACTATCCCATCAAACCAAGCAATAATTGTTAACATGAAACCTTGTCATAAGCATTTTAAGCATAGTCATTTCGTTGTTCACTATAAAGATTGCCTGGACGGGAATGTTGTGATGTTAGCGGAAAGTTGCATGCTGGTTGTTTATTTTACTCATAAGAAAGTACTGCAAATTAATATGAGATTTAATATCACAACCCCAGAGACAAGGTTTGTAAGGTGGCCCTGAAGACTTTAGGTTTGTTTAATCCTCACCTGTATTGTCGGTGGGAGCAGGTGGATGCAGCCAAAGGAGGGAGGAAAGACTCAAATTAGCTTGGGCACTCCATGAGCATGAGAATAGCAAGATAGCCTCAGAATCACACAGTGTTCCAGTGACAGTGAATGCATTCTCCTGTCTCAAAGCATAGAATCCAGAGCTCACTATAGTGAGCTATAGTTTACACACACTTGATTTGTGGTGAATATGACTTTAAGTTCATCAATATTCTTTAATTTTCATGTTCTCTGTATCATATAACACCATGGGTAATTTTTGTCTGATTTTAAGCGTCTGTGTCTGTGTGTCAGTCTGTTGTCAGCGCATGTGTTTGACAGCACTGCTTTTCCCATCATGCCTTTTGGCTTTGTCCATGAAGGTGAGTGAAGGCAAGTGCAGTTGCTTTTTTCTGTCTTTATCACCTTGCTGTCTGTGTCTTAAACACACACATAAACATGCCATCCATCCATCCATTTTCGTCAGCTTATCCAGGGCCGGGTCACGGGGGCAGCAGCCTAAGCAGGGACTCCCAGACTTCCCTCACCCCAGACACGTCCTCCAGCTCCTCCGGGGGAATCCCGAGGCGTTCCCAGGCCAGCCGAGAGACATAGTCCCTCCAGCGTGTCCTGGGTCTTCCCCGGGGCCTCCTCCCGGTGGGACATGCCGGGAACACCTCCCGAGGGAGGCGCCCAGGAGGCATCCGGAACAGATGCCCGAGCCTACTCAAGTGGCTCCTCTCGACGTGGAGGAGCAGCGGGTCTACTCCGAGATCCTCCCGTGTGACTGAGCTCCTCACCCTATCTCTAAGCGCCCAGCCCCAACTCATTTCGAGCGCTTGTATCCACGATCTCATCCTTTCGGTCACTACCCAGAGCTCATGACCATAGGTGAGAGTAGGAACGAAGACTGACCGGTAAATCGAGAGCTTCGCCTTTTGGCTCAGCTCCCGCTTCACCGATACAGCGACTGCATCACTGCCGAAGCTGCACCGATCCGCCTGTCAATCTCACGTTCCGTCCTCCCCTCACTCGTGAACAAGACCCCGAAGATGTCTATAGTGAGGTGACATTCCATGTCCCCAGAGCTAGTCTCCATGTCCGGAGAGCCGGTTGACCAGGCCCCCACCGTCGACTGCTGCCCAGATCTCTCTGCACCGGCCCCATATGGATCCTCCCGCAGGTGGTGGGCCCACGTGAGGACGGCCCCACGTCACTCCTTTGGGGTGAGCTCGGCCGGGCCCCATGAGGGAAGGCCCGGCCACCAGGCGCTCTCTGGCGAGCACCCACCCCAGGCCTGGTTCCAGGGTGGGGCCCTGGTGACGCCAATCCGGACGACGTAACTGGCCTCGTTGTCATACAGGGCTTCTGAACCGTTCTTCGTCTGACCCGTCCCCCCGGACCTGTTTGCCTTGGGTGACCCTACCAGGGGCATGAAGCCCGTGACAACATAGCTCCCAGGATCATTCGGGCACTCAAACCCCTCCACCACGATAAGGTGACGGTTCAAGGAGGGGATAAACATGCCTACTTTGAATATTAGTCTGACCCATGATTATGTAAAAGACTAAACAAGTAGAAGGACTAGATGAAAGGGAGTCAGATAACAGGAAGAGACTGCATAGGTGGAGTTATTCTACATTTAGCAGTACAAATAACTCCTGTTAAATAGCTAAACAGCATTATTTACCTGAATTTAACTTTTCTTTTTCCATTATGCTACCCAGATACCTGGCACCTGCTCATTGTAACATGGGCAGCTATTTCAGTAGTCTGGGGATTTCATGCGTTCATTGTGTTGTATGTAAACGGAGAATAAGGGCGCTGCTACGAATAGATAACACTCCTTTGTTGCTGGGTTTAGAGGGACTTTCCATGAGAATGTTTTAGTGGCTCTGGTGGGTGAACAGTTAAATTGTTGCGAGTTTATGGTTTGAATCCCCTTCTCTACTGTAATGTTAATACAGTACGAAGGCAAATTCAGATTCAAGGAAAATTATTACATTAAATAAACTTAAATTCAATTAAAGTCAATTCCTTTATTGTCATTGTCTTCTAAAATAACAAAATTATGTTAAAGCATCATACAGACTGCATAGTATTTTAAAAGTGCATAATAGTGTAAAGCACCCCCCATGACAAATGACAACCACCACGTAAACATTACACCCACTATGTAAACATTAGCATACAGTAGTAGTAATATATCAGTGCAGCAGCAAAGGGGCATATCAACAGATCACAACAAAAGAACCAAAAGAACTGGGACATCAAGGACAGGGGAGCATCCAGTCAGATGTTTTTTTTAAATGTCCTGTTGCAGCAATGCAAAAGTTCACAGTTATTGTACAGGATGGATATGGTTTACTCACCATAGGAGAGGAGAGAATGGGGCAGGGCACTGTTCAGCAGCCTCACTGCCTGAGGGTACAGACTGTGGGCCAGTCTAGATATTCTGGCACATATGGACCTGTACCTTCCTCTTGAGGGCAAAAGGTGGAACAGGTGGTGGGCAGGATGGTGTTGGTCACGCAGGATGTTATGCACTCTCTTCTGACAGCAGGTGGTATAGATAATATTAATCTCTGGAAGAGTGGTCCCAATGATTTTCCCCGGTTTTTACCAGCCACTGCAGTGCCTGCTGATCAGCCTTAGTGCAGCTGGAGAACCACACTAGGAATCCATATGTCAACACACTGCTGATGGCACAGTTGTAAAAGTTCACCATCAGCTGTTTTGAGATACTCAGTTGGCTCAGGTAGTAGAGTCATTGCTGGGCCTTTCCTACCGCTGAGGCAGTGTTAATGCCCCAGGCCAGGTCCTCAGTCAGTTACCCCCAAGAATCTAAAATGTGTCACTCTTTTTACCACCTTGTTGTCAGTAGGGAGTGAAGGGTGATTGTATTGTCCTTTGCGGAAATCCACAATAATCTCCTTCGTCTTCTTTGCATTCAGTACCAGATTGTTACTAACACACCATGATGCTAGATGTTACACCTCAGTCCTGTAATTCGTCCCACTGTTGCTGTTAATGAGTCCGAGCACTATGGTGTCGTTGGCAACAATGAATCTGGAAGGAAAAGAGGCAGAGCAATCATGGGTGAACAGAGTATAGAGCAGAGGGCTGAGCACGTATCCCACACAAACACACACAAACACAAACACACACCTTCATCATCGTCATTAACCTGAGAACGCGCGGACCACGTTTCCTTCCGTAATTACCAAGACTAAAACCGGGACTAACACAGTCCAGGACTAAACCAGGACTAAACCAGGTCTTAACCAGGACTAAACCAGGACTAACACCAGGACTAAAACCAGGATTAACCCATTCCAGGACTAAACTAGGACTAAAGTAGGACTAAAGCAGGTCTAAACCAGGACTAAAACAAGGACTAAAACCAGTGATCTCATATATAAAACATTTCTCTATCAATAATATTTTTAATATGGTTAAGGAAAGACTGGAATTTTTATTGTCTTTAAGTAGACAAAATTTATGTTCAGATTTCCTAGTCTTTGCTACTTTACAGCAAACAGTTTCTTATTCATGGAGACTTGGGCTCAACAGCCAATTTGGAGAGATTTGTTAAACAATAAATGACTTTGTAAAGTCACTTTTTTTGTTCTATATCAGTCTTTTGATCTGCCACAATAATGTAATAATGAATTTAAATGAAAATACCTCAAACTTGAAGGCTTTTCTCAGCAATTTTTAGGTGAGATTAAAAAGAGATTAATTAAATTAATTCATTACAGATCATAATTAATTAATCTCTCAATTTTTTTAATCGCATAACAGCACTAATTCTAACAATGTTCTATCATCATTAGTTACTCAAAGTTGCATTATGATTAATTCATGTATGTTTGAGTCTTCTGTATTGTCCTGCATTTGAAGCTTGGGTGCTCATAAAATGCACTTTTTTACATACTCCCTATCTCCATGTGCTGCCCTGTTCTTACTAGCATTTATGTAAAACTGTCAGACTCACTGTCATACGTGTTGGGTTAAAAATGCTGCTTTTGTTGCATGTAAAAGAGAATTTACATGTAAATGAGAATCAGCCTACAGCTTTTTCTGTGATGCATTCAGTTATAGGGCTACAATATGGCAATAAAAATCCAATGGTGAGATATTAAGGGAACTGTGATCAAGCTACAGGAAATTTTGATATGAGTTATATTAAAGAGGGAGTATTATGCAAAGTCCACTTTTTGGAACTTCCTACAATATTCCCTCCTCAAACACAGACGTAACATGGTGATCTAAATATGTCATGTGTGTCAAGTAATGCCCCATAGAAGTGTAATACTATTTAATTCTTTGGAATATCGCCCAGCCTTATTTGAATAATGTTGACCCACCACAAATATTCAACCTTACTGCAAACATGTTTTTAGTTGACACAAAAAATAGAGACTGTTGACAAAATAACACAAAATAAACTGCCACCCTTAAAGAGCAAGAACAGCTTTCTCAGATATAGTTAAATATACAAAAATGATGATATAGTGATACAGAAGCCTGAGGAAATTAGACTTTGTTACAAAATGAAAGTTACACAATACTTCTGTATTTCTATAGTTATTCAGAGAAAGACAGAAAGAGAAAGAGATACTTTATTGATCCCAAGGGAAACATTTACTCTGTGCTTTTTCACACCTCAGTGGTATTGGTGACGTAGTTGGTCCCAGCCCTTTAGAGATCTTTGTGTTTCAGAGTACTTGAGGTGACAGTAGCGGTCCTGGGTTTGATTATGATTTTATTTTAATAGTCATTAGTTACAATTACTCTTATTAATTGTTTGCAGTTCTATACCTCAGTACGCATAATACTGTTAAAGCAGGTTTACGGTCAAAATGAGACCAGTGTGCTATTTGCATTTAATTATGGAGTGTTTAATAGTCTGAAGTGCACTATTAGCATGCTTGTTAGCTTTACAGTGATGTCAAAACTCCACTCTCGTCTCTGAAAGTTGTGAAATGTACTTATAAACTAATAGTGGTAAATAATTAGGATGCCCGGAATGTGTTAGGAAACTGAAGAATCATTTTGAACTGCTGCAAACACCTTTAACATCTCTCTGTTGGATGGATATTTTATCAGTGGGGACCTAAACTCTGTGATTTTTCTGCTCATCAGTAAATAGTTGAGTCATTTCCAGTCTCTCTCATTGTTGGTGTGGTTCCTGTCTATAGAAATGAATACAAGTTGCTTTATTACTCAGTCTAACATGTTTATGACCAAGTTAGTATCTCTGTCATTCTGCCCATGTTATTTGACTCATGCCTGTGTGAATGTTTCAATAACATCAATAACAGCATGTATAACATACTGTATTTCCTCTAGCTACTAACCTACTAATGCACTAACCAACTTTCTATTTTCACAGATTCAGTCGTATACGCTCAAATTAACCACTGCAAAAAGAGACAATGCCAATGATATTCAGGTTGGTTCAATGGCACACTTTAAGGTTAATGATTCTATGCATCGTTTATTATTATCTATCATTATTACTAGTATTTTTTATAGCTTTATTTTGTTAGGTAGTTAGATTTATTTATTTGTTTACAATGCACATGAACATCTGTGTTAAATAAAGAGGGGGGTCTAATACATACAAATTAGTACAACACAAGGAAATGCTAAAAATAAGCCCCTGTTTTTGGCTAATGACCACTACTAATGAGCACTGATTACTCTATGTCAGTGCTTCACAATACGGAGGAGTATTGTGGAGCACTGACATAGAGGGTATTTTGTAAATAATTAAAATACCCATTCTGTCACATATTCAAGCTATAAAATGGCTAAGTATAGAACTATCTGAAGGTTATGTTTACATTGGCACAAACTCACATTAAAACTGGGACAAGATTAGAACTGAATAAGCTCTAGAACAGGACCAAAACTGTCTACAGCAGGTCTAAGCCAAGCTGAAATTAGTTTGAATGCACAAAGTTGAATGTACTGTTCTTTATTTACAAATCTACACCACATCTGTATTCAGACCCACTTAAGGTAGTGTAGCTAGATTGATGCTTGCCAAACTATCGGATGTAGAAATTGGAGGTGTGAAATCTGCTGGCCAATGTGGTGTCAGTGGTTTTTGTATTTCTGGGTCCTGTTTGTACTTGTTTTTATATTGAGCAAGCACTTATAAGGGTTAATGCTGCATGCTACATTACCTAACAGGAAAATACACCTACAGTATAAATAGCTAAACAAATGGACAACAGCAACAGACGTTGCTATCCCTACTGGACGCTCATGCAAAGTTTTGTGCGAGTAAAGGAAACAACGAAGCTGTGTAAGTGCAGGAAGTGAAAGCACTATGAACCACAATGTTAAAATAGACTTTTCAAACTGTATAACAACTATCTATAAACATTTTGTACTTGTTGGCAACTGTCAATTTATCTATTATCTATAAATTGTAATAAAGAAAATGATAAGGGGAGCTATGTCATGCTTGTAATATGGTTAAACCTGCACTAGACCATGGATATATGGATATATTGAATGGATGTATTGAATTATATAGTATGGTATTGTTCCTAAATCTAATTGTCTCTTTTTTTTGTTTTGTTTCGTTTTGTTTTACAGGGTGTTAACTCATCTCCTCCATCAGGACTCTCAGCCCATTCAAATCTAACCACAGTATATGACCAAGTAAATCTTACCCGGATGACTCCCACTTACTCCAACTGCGAACAGGAAATCACATGAGAGTACATCTGATTCCAGAGAAATCAAAGTGTATGTGGGCATTTCCCAATTAGATTCAGTCATTTCTGTGTCTTCTTAGAAAAGTGTTTTGACTGCCGTAGATGTCTTGACTTCCACCCAGAAATCATTATCAGTCTTAATGTCATCTGAGGAGCTAGACTTTATATGATTCTAAGGGGAGGTGTCCAAATATTACTTCAGTTACTGTGGATTTGCATACTGTAGATGTAGTTTGTTTAAAGCTAACATGTGTAATTAGATTGGCCAACCCAGACCATTTTATTCTTAAGGCCATTCAGACCGTTTTTCAGAGTTTATTGCGAGTCTAGGGCGTCCTGCATGTGTCTTCAGGCATCTGGTCAGGTGCAACACTCTGGACAGAATGAGGCGTCCAGGGCGTTTTTAGTGAACTGCCACAGTCTGAACTAGACCTTTAAACCACTTCCACCACTAGATGTTACCTAGGTTAGGTCTGCTACAAATAGTAGTCAATTTCAATTTATTTCTGGCATTTTATATTTTATATATACTTTTCTAACTGTAATTTCAATCATTCCACACATGTGTTCTTTTATTTATTTGATATAATGTTCATTTAGACACATTTTTTCTAACCACATGCAACAGAAAGCCTTTCCCTGAGTTTCCAAATCTCAGCAAGACTTCCTGGTGAAATAAAGGGCTGCGCAGCTATCACACCAATATATTAGAATGTTACAATTCACAATGTCTTAAACTTTTAACCAAACTTTGCTATTTACATTTCATTTCATTTATAGCATTGTGTATTAACTATTTTTTTTTTTTTTTACTGTCTTGAAAATGGCTTGAAAAAAACAACAAGTATTTCACAGTTTCCAGTGGTCCAAAGTTATTCCTCACTTATGTTTTGCATTTCAAGCATTGTAATTATTCACCGCAATGAGGTGAGTGCTTTTCACAACTTTTTGAGACCCTATGGCATGGCATGTAAAGCTAATAACAATTTGCATGCTAACTGTGCACTTAATGATTATCAGACAATAAAAGGCTTTGTACTTAAAGATAAATAGAGCCCAGCAAATTTATTTTGACGTCCAGAGCTGCTTAAACAATATATCTGTACTGGGGCAAAATAAGTTGTGCTTAAATACATGGGAAAAGTCCGTTTAAAAGCTGAGTTTTGTGGTGGAACTTTTAAGTGAGCACATAGACAGCAGCGGACTGTTTTTGTGGTATCTGTGTGGGCTGAGTCAGAGGCTGCTGATTTGGCAAAGCTCTTGATCTCGTGATGGCGGGTTTCCACTTGTTTTGTACTGTCAGGAGTTCAGCATTTTTAAATTTCTATCAGGACATCAGTGGCTTAGTTAGTAGTGCATTTATTTTATAACCAGAATGTCCAAAACTATAGTAAAACCAGGTCTTAATTACTTATTATTATCAGGATTAATGCAGAAAATGTATCCATCTGTATCCAGCACTGTGCAACTTCAATATTGAGTTGAACACTTAAATGTATAATAACGTAAGTCTAAGTAAGATATTGCGGTTTTGTTTTTTGTTGTTGTTTTTGTTTTTACTTGTTTGTGTCCTTCCTGTGAGTGGGCTTGCACCCCCATAAACCTGACTCCATGAGGAGAGCCTCTTCCTGCTTGTTTCTATGGAAATGTTCTATCTTCCAAGTATCTTCCGAAGTAGCTTTCAGTTTGAACTTCCTATTTCCGTGGAATCTTGCAACATGAATCGTGAATCAAGTTTGTTTTTTTTTTTTTAATAGCTGATGATGTAGGCTATATTGTGCACTTATTTGTTTGTGTTTTATTAAATAAATAAACTAAACTAATGGTAAAGTGTTATTAGGGATTATAAGCCTGGACGTTCATGTGGCATGTCTCTTAACAGGTGTTTATACAGGCTTTGTCCTTACAATGAATGAGAAAATGCGACCCCTGCAGCCTATTCTCTTCTTTGGTGACTTGGGCAGGTGAGAAAAACAAACAAGACAGGACACGTTCAAGGAAACGCGCTACAAAAGAATGAGGATTCTTGAAGAGAGCTGATTTATAGGAAATACACGTAGATATTACCCTTCATTTAATAGATCCAACTGTATATGGTATATAGAATAAGATAGACAAGAAGATAAAACTCCATGATATTCCACATTATAGACAGTAACTAAGCAATATATTGTATCTTCATATGCTTTAATGTTCAAAATGAAAGAATACAGTTTTGGTGGAATTGTGAATGTTTAATAAATACATGGTATAGCCAACACTGCCATCTACTGGACATAGCTAAAGAAGTTTAATTCTAACTGGACAAAAGTACAAAAAATACATTTAGTTGAATATTTTGGAGTATTTTTGTTAAAAAGAGGACTTTTTTTATTTTCGTTTTAAGCCACTGCCTCAAAAACAGGAAGTTGTGTTTGGTTTCATTCACACATGTTTAAGTAATCCTTTATTATTAGTCTGTCTACATCTCCAAAAATCAAAATGCTCTGTTCCATCAAGTTGTCAAGTTTACAGCTCCAGTTTATTTTTAGTTCAGTAGAGATTGGAAATTCCAGGGCTGAAATTATCCAAATGATTCTAGTGAAGGTGTATATTTAAAAGCACAGTGGAGCACTTCCTGTATTTCCACATCCACAAGACATCATAAGCTGGAGTGTTTTAAGTTTAGAAAAGAACTCCCCTAAATATGCAGAGTATGTGTGTTAAATGTGTTACTGAAACACAACACAAGGTATGTTTTTGATGAGAAAACAACATTAAAATGTAGATGAAAAAGCCAGATTTCATCTTGGCTGACATTCTTATCACTGTTCCTCACCAAAACCACATGCATTATATAACACATTCAAACTGCTGTAAGGAGAAGTAATTAAAAAACAACAATGCAAAAACAAAGACATAGGCTCCAAAAAGGTGTACTCATCCCACAGTTTGAAAACCGCTGCTCTAGTTACTTTGATATTACAGAGTTAAGATTTGCTTTTTTCTCACAAACCCCCTTATAATAGTTAAAATCACAATACTCGCTACTCCAGGACTTTATTGTGGTATACATTCGTGCTTCAAATCTGTTGAAAGCTGCACAATTCTTCTGATGTGCATACATGTTGGAGGATGTGGGATGATAATTTTGCCAATATCTGAAAAAGTACATTGTTAGTGTTAAATTGTTTATTAGAAATACCTGGTTATTGTAAGTGTTAAAACATACGAATTGATAACAGAGCTTCTATCGATCCATTGCCAGACATCATTTGATGTTCTGCTCAAACCAATCCAAAATTTATCTCCATGATTATTCAAAAACATCTATGAACAGATAAATGTAAGATGTAATATGATAGCCTATTGTATCGTAATGTTTTTCTTGATTATATTACACACTCACCATTTCTTCCTGACTTTTGATAACTACCAGGTCTGCACCCATATTTTGACATTGCCTTCTGCTGTTGCTCCAAGTGTTAACTGTTTGAGGCATAAAATAACATCTAAAGCCAAACCTCTTCCACCCATCGGGACAGGACACTGCATGACACAAAACAATAACAGTGAAATGTTGATACGTAAATGTCCAAAAGGAGATTTGTCCAGACAGTAGCAGTGAGCCGTGGTTATTAGTATAGTTATAGGTGAAGCAATAGCCTGTCATATTTCAGAAGTAATGGTGGCATCTGGGCCATACAATAGTCAGGGTACTACTACTATTTCAACATGTATGCTTAACTTTAGTATGCTTTACTGTAGTAGACTTTTAGACCTATTAATGTAAAATGATATACTAGTAAGTGAAATAACAGAATAAAATGACAATTTACACTTTCCCCACAAGGTGTCCCCCTTACAGCCCTGTTCACTTCCCCTCCAAGGAAGGGGACGTGTGTTAGTGGGGTGCTATAAAGTCCAGAAATTTAACCTGTACTTAAAAGTATATGATCAGATAAATGTGTTGTTTTCCTTCAGATAGTTCAAACCTCAGAGGACTCACCCATGTTGGCCTTGGCCCTGTGCAGCTCTTTCACCACAGAGAAATAACTGTTGTTCATCTGGTCCCTCTCCACTGTCAGGTTCAGGATCTGGGTCTGCAGAGCCTCTGTCTGTCGAGAGGAGTTCAACCATTGTCCCATCATCTGAACATACACTGTGTGGACTGAAAGAAGCAGGTACATTATTAATATGATTGTGCTGTATTATAACAAGTTAAAGGGCATAGTTATTGAATTTGTGGATTTAAGATTTTGTTGTTTGTACCCTCATATTTTTTGTTTTTGTATTTTATTTAGTTATGCTGTTTTTGTTTTGTTAAATTAATAAATGTTTAAATTACAGAATAATTTCCTCTTTAGATGAATCTTATTAAAATACATAGTCATTTGGTGTGGGAACCTGTGGCCTGTGTCTTGAAAGTGCCAGAAGTACCAGACTTTGTGCATCATTTTAAGTTTTATCTTTCCAACTACATTCATTTCAGTCAGATTCTACATTCAGATATCACTTTTAGTTTTCCCAAATATAGTTTAATGCTACTAGTTAAGTCTTGGAGCACTAATTCTTAACTTCCTATCATACTTACTTGAGTAATATGTAGAAGTATTCCAATTCAATTCAATATTTTATAATTATAACATTGTATACATGACATACTGTATATTGAACTGAAACTCACATCTGGCTCCAACTCCCACAGCAATGATGAATAAAGTGAAACTGAGGACACCCAGACAAACTGTGGCAACTTTGAATCTTGCAGTGTCTGAACTGACCACAGCTTCTGTAACCCCATTGTGGCTGTCTGTGAACACAACACAATGCAATGAACATGCACATTAAAAAGGAATCAGAGTTGGAATCTCAGTTACATTTTTTTGAGTAATTTTATTTATTTTTTTTTTCATAAAATGGTTATTCTCTAAGTGGTTTTCAGGCACGATACTTATACTCCTATCTGAGTTACATATATTTTACAGTGTAACAGGACTCTTACTTGAGCAAGTTTTTTTGGTTACTCTTTCTGCTTTGAGTAAATGGCAAAAGCTTAATGCTGACAATATAAAATGCCTTGAACATTTGTTTTTTGCAGTGCTCTTTCTGATATGATTTCATTTTTTCCACTTTTCCCAAATTACAAAATGTGTGTATTATGTTTTGTTGGTATATTACTTACTGATGCATCATGTCATATTTTTCACTTATTTCACTTGTTATTTTATTAGCATGCAAATTAAGGAATTACAATTTCTTACAAATTACATAAACATGATTTAATTTATTTTACATAATATTTACATTAAACCATAACCATTTCTTGGAGTGCTGACCTCCTGTTTATGACATCCTTCCAATAAATAACTAGAAAAGCACTCAGAGAGCGCAGACCTCCGCCAAGGACTACAGTCCCCCTCATATTAATTGTGTTTTCCATAAATATTTGTCTCGTATCTTTCAATTTGGAATATGAAAGAGGATCCGATTGTCCATCCCTGAGTCAAATTTCATGGGGTTTGGTCAATAATTAACCGAGATATTGAGAAACAAAATTTTTGGCCCCATTTACCACAATGTTAACTAAAATTTCAAAGTGATCCAGAATCCAGGATTTCTTCCGGATCACCCCCAAAATGAAATCAGTTCTTCCTTTTCACATTTCCAACAAATCCTGAAAATTTCATCAAAATCGGTCCATAACTTTTTGAGTTATGTTGCTAACAGACAAACAAACAAACAAACAGACAAACGCTGGCAAAAACATAACCTCCTTGGCGGAGGTAATAACAATGCATTGGATTTACATAACACTTTTCAAGACAATCAAACATTATACTAGTACAAGTAAGCAGTTATAGCCACAGCTGCCCTGAGGTAGACTGATGGAAGCAACCACCCTCTGACCATCACCAACAGTCACGTACACAACACGTTCGTACTAGGCCAGGTGCATGAAGTGTCTTGCCTTAGAACACAATGTCAGTATAGCCCCATACATATATATTCTACCAACATCATATTAAACAACAATTAAACAATTTGGTCACAATTGGTTTTGATGTGGTTGAAAATAAACTGTCCACAGTTTGCCTACCTGTGTCCACTGTTCCATGTGGTTGTTTTTTCCCAACGTCCAGCACCTCTAAATTCATATATATGTTCTCATCCATAGACATCCTGCCCCTTGTTTAATGTTGAATGCACTGACCTATACTGGCTTAAACGCAACTGAAACTTATATCGAAATAGTTATGTTCCTTAAAACCTGACCAAACATGTTACAACTGATGTAAACCTCAATGAGTTTTCTTTTATACTTCCACATTTTAGTGAAGGTTATGCTGATTACACCTGTTCATTTTTTCTCTCAAAAATGCTTAAGTAAAGAGGTTATAGAACTGTATTATTATGTAAAATTTTGAATCAATCCATCTAAATTAAGCCTTTGTTCAACTGTAGGGTGACCAGACGTTTCTATTTACCTGGGACAGTCCCAGTTTTGAGTTCTGTGTCCCCTGTCCCAGCAGATTTATACAAACCAGTGATTTGTCCCAGTTATATACAAGAAATGTCCCAGGTGTCCCTATTTTTGACTAATATGATACCTGCCAAAAGAAAAAAAGAAGCCTACATTGTCATTTGTTTAGGCAAAACATAGAAAAGCTGCTTAAAAATTACAGAAACACAAAATGAGAAAATGTGACTGACTCACATTAATGCCGAGTGCATAACAATTTTGTTTCACAATTTTATTATTACCAACCAACCCAAACCAGAGATGTCCTATTTTTTATTTTTTATTTATTTATTTATTTATTTTTTTGACAATCTAGTCACACTATTCAACTGTGTAACCTGTGGATCCACCACGTCCTCGTCTCTATGTGAATATGACGATGTTATTGCTTTGCCTGGAATGTTCCACAGTATGGCATTTAAATGATCATGTCTGCATTTGTTTATTGTCTTTAAACTTGCGATATTACTGTGAGTGAACAGTGTGAAAAACTTTCTTCAGTCATTTAGTTCTGCGCGTGCGCGATATGTAGTGTGTGCGTGCTCGTTCCCGTCAAGCACGTAGAAGGAAACGTAACAACTGCGTCATTTGCGCGGCGCCTTGCTCCCGATGCACTTCTCCCGAAATCCTAAAGATAGATGTTTCGATTTCAGGTGAGCACCAAACCCGTGTGGTATCAGATCTGAGCTGGTGTTATTTCTGTGTACATGAGGTTAAATGTCGTCCGGGAGCGTGGAGGTTTAACCCGCTGTTCTTTGTTTATGCGCGGCTCAAGTCCAATGCGGTGTTGGCCTGTGCAGCAGCAGTTTTTCCTGATGACATGAGCCACAGGGAGGACAAGTCTTCAGGGCGCGAACAGCCTGATCAAACAGGGGTCAATATCGCACTGCACATTATAAAAAAGACTGTGCTTCTTTGTATAAATGTTTTTAAAATCCACGATCCGTCCACGTCTTGCAATCGATATAACGCTGCGTCTCTTGCGTGATGTAACAGTGTTAGCATTGCGGCTAACGAGTGCCACTGATGCTACAAGACATCTTCAAATACAATAAAAATAAACCACGCAGCATGTTGTATTTTAGTACACATATACTCATTGGATCTAGTTAAGGAATTACCGACAGCTCATCACATTTTAAACCTGATTTATTTTTAGGGGATAGATTTTCATTGCTTCACATCTGGACATTGATTTCTGTACACTACACATGCACATTTTATATTACTCCTTTTCTTTAACGAACTGTTTTAAGAGAGAATTAACATACATTTTGTTAACTATTAGTTCTATGTTAATTTGGCTTAGAAAGATCAACCATATTATCTGCCATGTTATTGAACAGTATTTTGTCTAAATCTTGACAACAATAATATCACAGTCAAATCAACATCACAATTGACTAGTCACAAAAGTTGTTTATTAAGATATATAGATAATATAATGCCCTTTAGTAAGAATTAAATGCTTTGTCTCCATTGCTCTTGTGTTTTAAACCTGCTTATCTTGTAGTTTAGACCTACACAAGATTATATTTGAAATGCATGGGATTCTTGGCACATAGCATTTCTCTCTCATTTGCAGGATCTTGTCGGACATGTTTACAAAGTGTTCTGTTAACTGCCCTATTCTTGGTTCAACAAAACTAATAGCAAAATACAGTCACACAATCCTGGGTGCTGGTCCTTATTACTAATGTAAACAAATATAAACTTTGAGTATGTTTTAATGTTCAGTTCTTAGATTGATAGCAATCTCTGTCCATTATAAGTCTGTGAAAAGCTATGAAAAAGCCTTAGATAGAACTATGCATCAACAGCCCCAAAAACATCCATGCAGTATATGCGCTGACTGCCTTGATATTAGTTGTCAAAAAACAGTTGAATATTTGTTTACTATTTGTGTTTTGCATTAGAATGGTGTTCTTTGTATATTTCTCTCCCTGGTGTTTGCAATAGATCTTGGGATTGTGATCACATCATATGGAATTTTAAGTGAGCCTAATTTTAAACCAATAGAGATTTTAAGATGCTAAATACTACCCTTAGCATGCGTTAAAATTTTTTCTGACACTATAAAGTGATATATTTACCAGTAGTGACCCAGCAGTTTATCGGGTTGTTCCACTGTGCTTTTGCTTACTTTGTAACATTGTTTTGGCTAATACATCTCTGAGAGTATTTCACTGCTGTCACAAACATGAAACATTTCCATGGTAACCGCCATTTTTTGAAGTCCCATCCGAAGCTCCATCTTAACAACATGAATCTTTTTGCTTTTATTTCAGTCCCTGGATGATGACTGTACGTTGGAGGAGGAGGATGACGGGCTGATAGAGGAGGAAGATGAGATCGATCAGTTCAATGATGACACATTTGGGGCAGGAGCAATTGGTCAGTAAATACTTTTTATTGATTAAAGTATTATCTTTATGGCACTTATTGATTATACTTTTTTTTTTAGTTCTTGGTTAAATGTCTCTTCTAAAAACGTATATGTTCAAAATATGAGCATTAGCATTTTCCTGGTGTCTTTCTAACATTAGATACATACATAGTGCAAAATAGAAATGGAAAATAGGCATCAGTATTAGTTCCAAAGTTCCAAAAAAGTTAGTTCCCAAAAGCAATGCTACAAAGTGAGCAAGAATATGAAATGATGTAAATCAAAAAAGCAAGGCCAATATTGTGACCTGAAGTGCCCATTTTATCATTATATTAACTATGAATGAAGTTAAAATCCAGTCATGTCTCATGCTCGTGAACCCACGTCTTTTCATCTCATCTTGTCTAAAATTTGATACTGTGACATGCATAACAAATAATAATTTATTCTACTATTACTTCCATCGTCTTCAGAGGATGACGACTGGCAGGAGGAGCACAAACGTCTGGCGGAGCTGGATGAACGCGATGGACTGGGAGGGGTTGTGCCAGGATCTGGACCGGGATCTGGACCGGGACTCGGAGCTATGGGGGGAGCTGCAGACACCCCACCACTTGGCCCCCCTGCATCATCTCTGCCCTCACTAAACTTCACGTCTTCCTCTGGTTTTCCTCGTCCAGGTCAGTGAAGAATATAACTTAAAATATCTCTCTAGCTCCAAATGAAAATATGCCTTGCAACAAGATGGCCTGTAATATATTTCTGTCACTGAAGTAGATGATATGTGAAGTCTTTCTGAGATACAGTTTCAAATACGATGGATAAATGCTTTACCCACTATGTTACCTCCTCTCACTTGAGTTTTCTTTTCTTTTGTTTTGTTTGTGGTGCACTTCTTGACATTGGATCTAATCTAATGTTGTCTGAAATAATGCACAGAAATTTTGACATTCATAATATTTAACTTTTGAAATGTGACAACTACAACACCATTTTTTGTTTATGTTGTGGTTTATCTCTCCTGAGTTGGTATAATAATGTATCCTAAATCTTCAGATACAGAGGAGAGAGGAGGAGGGGGAGGTGACCTGGCAGAGTCCTTAGCCCGGTTCATACTTGATGCAGACCCTGCCATCGCTGGTGTGGGGGCAGCAGAGAGACCAAACCCCGCTCTGTCCGGTCTCCAGGGTTTGGACCGGTCCAGAGTCCTGCCTCAGCCAGCCCCCATCCCAAACCAACTCCCCCCTCACCCCCAGATGCCCTCCACTTCTGGTGAGACAGTACATTTACACCATACACTGCGCTTCACTTATGATGAAAATAATGAACTTGTTGATAAAATAATAATTTGCCTCAGATAAACAAAAATATTTCCTTCCTACTTTTATGTTATGTTTTTAAGTGGAATTCAAACAGCTGCAGCACAACATAATAATAAACACAGGGATGGATATATATATATATATATATATATATATATATATATATATATATATATATATATATAATACATATATGTAATATGTCTGTTGTAGGCCTGCCCCTTGGCCCTGCATCAATGCTCAGCTACCAGCAGCAACAGCAGCAGCACTTAATGCGCAGAGGAACTTCTCCTATGGGACAGGTTTGGTTTGATGTATTTTCGTTCTATATTGTACATCTCATCAAACTGACTGTAGTGTATGCAATTATGCACACGGTAATTGGAAATATCTTATTTTAGATGAACTCTCACAATATTTGGGAGAACAGTATGGGGTTTGGGCCCGTTAGCGTCACCCCAGGACTGCCCACGCACATGGAGGTAAGAAGCATTGGGCATGTGGCCACTGTTTTGATATAAAATATCAACAAACAGTAGTGTTTTTTCCCTGATTACAAAAATAAAATTTCAAAATTACTAGGGGTGTAACGGTACATGTATTCATGCCATTTCGGTACAGGGCGTTTTAGTTCGGTGCAGGGCTGTACATGAGTGAATTTGCGCAATTTGTGTGTGTTTACATTTCGTCACTACATGTGCAGCTACACGGAAGGCTCTGTTATTTAATATTCACAAGGGAACTCGTCCATGATTGGGGTGGCAGTGTTTTCCGCCGTGCTTTATAGTTAGGGAGGCCACCTTGACTCCATCCCTCTGAACCATGTGAATCCTTGCAAAACTACCGTCATTGTGCCTCAGTCCTCACTTTCGCTGGCATAGAAACTCCATCCGCACAGATCTGCACTTAATGTAGACAAGTGGACAAGTTGTTTTTTCTGGCCAAAAATATGAAGATCGTGTGAAACTTCTTCCTGGAACTGTTAGTGCTGCGCTTTACTTTTTGAAAAGTTTTGTTTATTGTTTACGAGGAATTTATTTTTTATAATATTTCATACAATTGTTGCTTATTTGAGAATATTTAATTTAATTTATTAGTATTACCAAGCAGCACTTTGCATTTAATTTATTTTCCTGTTTGTATAATGTTAAAACAAATTGTTGGTTTAATAAACGCGCAAATGATTTTTAGCATTTTGTTCCCATACTATACCACAAATGAACCGAACCGTGACCTCAAAACCGAAGTACATACCAAACCGTGATTTTTGTGTACCACCACTAAAAATTACAAATAATTACTTGGTGTACATGAACGTTAAGGTTTTGTTTGACCTGGTTCAGTAGTTTAATCCATGTTAATCTTTGGGAATGAAAATTGTACTTGCAAATCAATATCGTGAGTGGATGTTTGTTTTTATTGCTCCAGTGCAGTACAAAAATTAGGACTGGACAAAATGTATCACAATCAACTTGAAATTTGAATTGAGTTGAGTTTAAATTGTAGTTTGAGTTTGTGCAATTACTAAATTCGCTAAGGCTGCAATTATTTAGGGGGTAAAATATTCTCTGCAAAGAACATAATATCCTGTCTTCTTATTCAAATACTATCTTGTACTATACCCGCATATTCTGAAATGCATGGTATTTGTGTTTTCGTTTATCATCTCAGTCGTCGTCTCAAATGTTATTAATTCTAGAGTTATTTACATTGTGCACTGAACAGAAACCTCCTTTTTAAACTTTTATTGGGAATCTAATCGCAACCACAATAAATTTGTTTGATTTTATAAAAACATTTTATGTAAAAAATGTATGTAAAAAATGAGGTAGCTTTAACAAAAATGTATGATTTAAATTTTAGTTGTTTTTTTGTTGTTGTTTTTTTTCAGGACAGTCCACTTATGTCCATTATCAAAGAGGTGGGTTTGCCCAAAAGACCACCTCAGAACCGGAGCGATGAAAGCAGAGATCTGTCAGAGAGGGTGCCGCCCCCTCGCTCATCCTCGCCTGTGATTGGCTCTCCTCCTGTGAGAGCGGTTCCTATCGGGACTCCACCCAAGCAACCAATGAGCCACGCCCTCAACCATCAGGTGAAATAATTTTACTAATGTACTATACATGGAATTGTTGTAAATGCATGTAACATTTACCTAATAATGTTTACTCTTTAATGTTTTATGATAAGAATTGTAGCTTGTAAAATTGGACACCAACAGAAAGATTTAGGAGTGGTTGCATTTACCTTTCAACAGTAAGGTGCAACAGTATACAGAGACATTCTCCCAGTAACTATACCTTTTGTGGTTTCAATTCCTCCTAGGGTTTTTTGTATAATGTTGGGCTCTTGAGCAAAATACTGATAATATAACAAAAAAAACAATCAGCTTTTTAAATGATGATGATGAAGGCCATTTAAAATGTTTTAATTTCATAAACCTGACTTATCTGTGTCCCAAAATACTGTTGCAAAAATAATTGTAATATTTTGGGTTTAAATTCTTGGCTACATTAATTTAGAGAAACACTTGTCTTTTCTTTCCTCTCAAGTCTGTGATTCTAACTGTAGTTACTTTAGTCCCTCCTGACTCTCTCTCTGCTGTGTTTGTTTGTATTTTTATGCGTATTGCATTTAGATCCACCACCCCACTGCAGTACACGTCCGCGCCCCGGTGCCTCACAGATACCCCCCTCCTCATTTCCCTGAGCGCCTATCTCCAAACACCCTCCTCAACATAGCAGTGAGTCCACATCCTCTTCCCTTAGAGTTTAAACATTTTTGACTATCAGAAAGTACTCATGAGTTTCAACTTCCTGTTATATTTCTGCATCCATCTGGTCCTTGGGAACTTGGGTTTTTGAGATGAGATTTTGTGGTTCCATCTGGTTTGGGTTTAACTCAGAAAGTTGGGAATTTTATCTCTTAAGTAGTCAAATTGTGGAGTCTGCTCATTTTTTGTCATCGGCCATCTCAAAAGTTAAACATTAATGTTAACTTTACCTAACACTTTTACCAGTTAATGTTCTGTAATTATTTCAACAGTAGTATCAGGTCTTTCTTGTGCAGATTTGTTGCTCTTGGGATATGGGATAGTAAAACTCTAAATGTAATAACATCCAGAGAGCTCAAATATTTAAGATAAATTGACAAATCAACTGAATTTCATCCATCCGCAAGTGTTTGTGTGCATTTTCTTTTAACCCAGAAAAAACATATTTCCAAGCACCCAAACATGAACAGAGCACACAACAGTACTTTTTGTGGTGCATGAATTATGACTTTAAGGTGCATTTAGTAACTTTTCAGGAGGAGGGTACACCACCTGCTTTTTTCAAAGTGGCAGACACTACCAGCTAAGTTACCAGTTTCTACTTACACCTGTCAAAAATATGGCATAAAGAAGAATAGATTTTAAACATTATTTATTTATTTTATATTCATAAAACACTAGATTATCAAGAAATGACAAATCTTCACATTTTAAATTTGATTTCATGTTGATGTTGATCATTGTTTTGTTTTGCGCAGAACTCCCCTCTGTGCCGCGGTCCATTTCCTCCTGGAGTTTTGTCTCAGATCCAGAGAGCTCAAATGCTCAACTCTCAGGTTAGTTCAGTTCGTTACTTCAGTAACTAATTATATTTAAAATTATGGCCTATTGCTTCTCCACTGTTCTATACATCTTCATTTTCACTGGTATTTTCTTGAAAAGTATTATGAGTTGAATAGCTTGTAGAAGTAGGACTGGTTGATATAGCAAAAACCAGTGATATTCCATAAACAATAGAAACTTTTTACCTGTGCCTTTAACACAGAAAGTAGTACAATTTCTTCATCAAGTCCGTTTAATAAAGAGGATGTAAGCCTCTTTATTAGAAAGACCAAGTATGTATACTTGGTCTTTTTTAGTCTTAAATAGTTTATTTGCATTTATTGTCAGATTTTGTATAATTATAATGCTAACTTTTATATGATTGTTTTCTCTTTTTCTGATGTGGTGATTGGTGCAGCTTAGGATTGGAATGTAGTCTCTAATGATTTTTGACCTTCTTCTCTGTCCTGTGTGCAGGTGGCAGGCTTCCCTCGCGGAGGCCCCCCTCCCATGATGCCCGGAGGTGGGTTCAGGCCGTTCTTCGGTGGTCCTCCTCCTCATGGGCATAGGATGGGACCACCCCCTCCTCATGGACCCCCCAACCACCCGCCACCCATTCGCCACAACACCACCCACCTTCACCCACAGCATCGCAGAATGCTCACCCAGCGCATGCAGAGCCGAGGAGGGTAAGGACTGGACAATACGCTCAACTTTTCTGGCATAATGTGAAATTACTTGAGTTTAAAGGCTCAGTCTCACCAAAGATTTAGTGAGATTTAAGTGTGACATATAGCTAAAGAAAATATTGTTAAATTATAATACTGAAACCAGTTTATGCCATCGACGCAATAACACTCAAGTGGGATTATCCCCCAAAACATTCTAAATGTACAATTTTGTTAAAAATGAGGTATGAAAAAAGAGAACAAAAGTCTTGTCAGTTTTTATATATAATCATAGTCATAGAAGTTGTTTATTCAACCCTTTATTACTCAAATCCTATCCTAGTACAAAGAAATGACCAAAAGTTCACCACTACACACTTATGCACGATAAATATTGCCCCCTAAAAACTATTGTTCTATCCATCATCATATCTGAGTGACCTTGTCTCTCTCCTGTCTCCTTTCCCCGTCTAAAAGCTCTATTCTCACTGCAACAACACAATACCTTTCTACATCAGTAGGCAACACATTAGTTGCTAAACTTTGTGGAGAGGACGTTTCTTAACAAACTAGTTAAAAAACACATTTGACCAGTGTAGTTTAGAAAAATCAACTCCCAACTGCAAACGAATTCTACGAAGTTACCTGAACCAAGTAAATGACCATAATTGTTTGTTAAATGTCCTTATTGTAGGGGCCGGCCTGGACTGGATCGGCGCAGCAGAGACCCCTACAGTAACCTGATGACCCAGAAGGAGAAAGAGTGGGTCACCAAGATCCAAATGATGCAGCTCCAGAGCACTGACCCCTATTTGGATGACTACTACTACCAGGTAAGGGAGTATAGGAGTACTGGCTATGTTCAAGTCAATTCAAAGCACTGCACCTGATTTTTACTGCCTTAGATATAGAACTAGTTTATTCCAAAACTAATGACAAGCATGCATCTTATAGTTTGCAAAGGATAAAACTCCTTTGACCCTAAGAGTAGCTTATTATATATCTTTACTGATGTACAGAATTATTGAAGGGTAGAGTGTGAACAAGATCGAAGTTACCATCTATCTCTTCATCTCTCTATCTCTCTATCTGTCCATCATTAATGAAGTGGAGCAATAGAATATTTAAATAATTTGTTGATTAAAACTGGGACTTCAACCTTTTGAGTTAGTAAATTTAAACTTGTTATTTATTATGTTATGTATACAGAACTATTATGAAAAGATGGAGAAGCGTCAGGAAAAGGAACGAGACAGCAGTAAAAAGGAGCATACCACCAAACTCATTACTCCACAGGTGGCCAAAGTGGAGCACACCTACAGGCCAGGTGAGAAACTGTTCACTCACAACACAGTTTTCACAGATACGCGTCCACCTGCGTATGGTGGTGCTCGACCCCACGACACAAATGGGGTTTGTTGAAGCAGGACGACGCGCCATTTCTGAAAACACATGCACTTGTGTGGTGAATACAGACATGTCTCTGCTCTGTGACCAACAAAAGGAGCTGTAAACCTTGAGGAGATTCACAAGAGCTACAGGAGATGCACAGAAACCCTCAGTGTTCAACTCGGCAAAACACCATATCTTCTCCCCCTTCTCTCCGTGTGGAGAAACACTCGCTTTTCACTAAACTCACTACAACCTCCTCAAACTAGCGCCTTTGCTCTCCTCTCACAGCCTCATGCTGTGTCTTTTATTTTATAAATAATCTACAGGTAAAATGCTGTCAATACCATTTTAACTTTGTCTGAAAGAACGCTTAAAGAAACACTTTGATCAAAACTTTCAGCACGCGCACACACCAGTGTGAATAACCCCATTTTAATGTGCACTGTAGAGTGCTTACAGATGTTAAAACATAAATGTCAAATCTAATCAATTAAATTCTTCCTTTGATACTACTTTTGCATACAACCCACACTTTATTTACTCTCTACCAAAACATACCCTGGCCTGTAGTCTATTTACATGTCTGTCTTGTGTCCACAGTCCAGTTTGCAGGATCTCTGGGTAAACTGACAGTGTCCAGTGTCAACAACCCTCGAAAGATGATCGATGCAGTGGTGACGAGTCGCTCCGATGACGAGGTTTGTGTGGATGAAGGATGTTAGTAAAAAAATTTTTTGGCGAAACAAGGACGGCTATAACAAATCATAAGCTTGAATTGTTTGGCATACTGGCTTACTGTGTGGTTTTGTTCAGTGAAAGAGGCTACTCGTCAGTCATTATGCAAACTATACAATTCAGGTAGTGGCACTAAAGAACAGCGAGTGTTGCATTACTGGTACTTAAAAAAAATAATAAAATGTATAAATCGGACCCAACCCTAATCGGAGGTGGCACCCCTATTAATTCCTTTATTACTTTAGTGCAGATTATATTGTCTACCATTAAACGGAAATTTTAAACTACAACAAAAAATACAAACTTTTCCAGTTTCTGTTGATGTTTATGAAATACTTTTTTTATTTGCAGGAAAAGCGTGAGAAACAAGTTTGGAATAAGAGACGCCAGATCCTCTATACAGTGGAGAAGGTAAATGAGAGGATCAAACTGAAACATTAAAACTGAACTTATGATTCCATTATTACGCTGATAAAATGTTTGTGTTGCAGATGTACAGTTTGTTGCTGGAGGTGCAGGACTTTGAGAAACGTTTTGTCCTGACCCCAGAGGAAGAGAGAGAGGCTCTGCTCGAACAACACAAAACTAACACGGTTCAACTCTGCAACTCTTTGCGTGAGAAAGAGTGGGAGGACAAGTAAGGGACCAAGGCTTTAAGTTCAGAAATCTAAACCTAAGCATGCACAATTTCCAGATTATAATAACTGTGTAACTATAACGATAATACCTTTACTTTTACTTTTTAAATGTATAATATATGTATTTTTCAAATATAGGGTCATTGTTGGGCATGGCACTATATTGTCCACTCTATTTATACAACACATTTCTAAGATTAAGAATTCTTGATTTTTTTCTTTCTTTGATTTATTGATTAGTCTTTTGATAGCAAAATGCCTGTAAAGTTTAAAGGTGAGATTTTTATCCAATTTGCACCCAGATAAAGTTAATTAAAGTGATCAAGTACACTACAGATAAATGTTTAAAGACACTGTACTTGATTTTTACTGGTTTTCAGTGTAACTTTTCACACCAAGTCAGATCTGTGACACAGGCAACAGGCAAGTCTACTCCACACAGTAAGAATGTTTTTTCTGGTCCATCAATTAATCTTTTAATCGCGCCTGTAATTAGAAGTTCTGCAATTTTCCAGGCAAAGCAAAAGCATTTACATGTAGACAAGCAGGTGGCGGACCCTTGAGCAGAAAAGTTATAGTGGACCATCAAAAACTAGTAAACTTGTAGAGGCGACCTTCCACCAAAAACACTACATTTGTGCTGAGTTTTAACTTGACATGTTTCTTCCCCGCCTGCAGGGTGAGTGACGAGCAGCTGGTGATGATCATGTCCGTGAGGAAGGGGAAGCGGTTGATCTCCAGGCTCTTCCCCTTCCTGCCCTCTGCCCAGGCAACAGCCGTTCTCATGGCAATTGCCCGAAACCTGCCCGCACTCGCCAAGAAGGACAAACAGGACCAGGTGAGGAAACACAGCTGGAATGATTCCTTCTCAAATTGGCCATTAGGCACATATAGGAAAAAACGATAACTCTTAATTGGAAATATGTATATAAATATAAATATAAAAGAGTATTTGGGATGGGACATTTTGTACAAGAAAAGACTGAATTTATTTTTATTTTTTTTAACTATTTTGTTCAAATGTCCATGTTTTTTTGGGTTGTTTTTTTTTGTGTGGCATGTTTAAGCCCTACATTTACTACCTGATTTTTTTGGAATACAGCCAAGTAAGTATAGAGCAGTGGGAGAAGATAGGGGGTAGGTGAAAACATAATTTTTTGGAGCACAATGCAGGATTGCTCAACCATGCATGAATCAATCAAAATACAAACCTAGTTAAGCCAATGAGGTAACATTGTTTTAACGTGCTAAAGAGCTCATAAAAGTCTGTTTGCCATAATCGATCACCTTAAATTTTTTTTCTCCCTTAGGTGCTGTGTTGGTTAGTGGAGCCCGTCTCTACTGTGGTCCAGTCCATGTCCAGCTCTGCTCTCACTGACCTCCTCCAGGAGTTGCAAAGCACCGAGGGGCAGCTAGCATCAGTGCTACACAACAAGGTACTCAACAGTCACTATGCAATGAGTAGATTACTTAAGGCAGGATTGATTTTAATACCATAAACAACTCAACCCTTTGTCATTAATGCAAAAAAGGCACATTTTCTGCCCTAAACGGCAGTCTTTTACTGACAGAGAATTGGCCGTAGATAGATAAAAAACAAAACATATAACTGACAATTACACATGACTTAACCTCGATCCCGATTAGTCGCCCAACCGTAGGATGGCACAGACGACTGACAAGCAATTTTTAAACAGTAATAATAGTAACCCAGAGTTTAACAGAAATTGATTGGGGAAAAAACAAAAAATGGAAAAAGCCCAAAAGCATTTATATGTAACATTTTTAAAAATCTTATTACTTGATTATTGAAATTGTTCATGTGAATGTCACACATTTTAAGATTATTTGAAATTGGTAGTATTATAAATGTATATAATATTTAAAAAAATGTTCCCCCTTTGTCTGTCTGTAGTTTGGAGTGACGCTGCTGTATCTGATCCTGAGTGAAGGGGAGCGGATGCAGAGCTCTGAGCCAAACTGTCAGCTCATGGACGACAATCGATGGTAAACAGTGATTTCACCTGGTCTGGCCTAAAAGAGTTCAGTTAAGGTTGTTAGGACAGTCACAATTGAATCAAAGTTACAATTTTAATACTTTAAATCCAAGAACTAGTCAGCTGGACTATGTTTTGGATGTTAAAGTTTGTTACAAATTTTCTAACTATAAAGGTGCACAATGTAACTTTTCTGGTGCGTACTCCGCCACCTGCTTGTCTTCATATAGATGTGAACCCTTCACTGCATGGAACGACATGGTAACTAGATGTCACCACATTGCAGTGGCGCAGGGTCCAGCATGCTGATCTTACAGAGCAGAGGTACTGGGTATGAGCCTGAGTATCCAGCTAGCGTCAGGGCCCATGCAGTGTACATAATTTCCCTGTGCCAATGTAGTGTTCTCTACGAGATTATAAGCACAATATATAGATAAAAATAGACTGCGCCCAGGGTTAAAAGAAAAATTTAAGTAAAATATTCCATTGTTTTAATATTCTATTCATATTATTTTACCAAATGCATATAATACACGCACACAAATGTGAAACAAACTAGTTTTATCTGCAATCACATCACAGAGAATGTCCTTTGAACCTCTGTGCAATACTAAAACATTTCCTCTAGATGTCACTGTGGAAGTGTGTTTCGAAGCCTCGACACATTCAAATGCTTTGATGTATCAAGAAGCCTTAGTTTCCCCATCACTACAAATTGAATACTATGTGAAATTTTAAGCACTGCAAAAACAATCTTGGAGGCAAACAGGCGTGTTTACGAAACCAGAAAAGTTGTATAGTGCATTTTTAGCAATTTTCATCTTTCAGCAATTTCAACTTTCTTCCAAGTGAATTCATTTCTGATGATGTACTTGGAGTAAAACAAGATAGTAGTGGTTTTGTGATTATGTGATCATTTCTGTTGCAGATACTGAACATTTTAACATTGTGTCTTTTTGTCCCAGGACTGAGCTGGTGTTCTCTGTGACGCGGGAGCTGCTGTCTGTCCCGTCCGCGTCTCTGTCTCCTCCGTTATTCACACCTCCAAACCTCCTCTCACTCTTCTCCCGCTACGTTGACCGGCAAAGATTGGAATTGTTACAAGACAAACTACAGTGAGTGTGTTTGGGTTTTTATTTTAATGGCAGATTAATGGTTGAATGCATACAGTAATATCTACTTTGAGTCAAAACGTTGGGACACACTTTTTCAGTTAATGGTATTGGACTTTTTAGACAGGAGAGTCTCACTGAATGCATCAAAACTATGGATAAACACCTATGAAATGTAGTAAAATGACTCCAAACGTGTACACTGCTAGTCAAAAGTTTGGACTCCCCCTCTCATTCAATGTTTTTTCTACATGTTTAAAACTTTTTACATTTGATATAGATACAGAAGACATAATGAAATATGAAGTAAGATGTATGGAATTATGTAGTAAAAAAAAAAAAGTTACTAACTAACTAAAAAAAACTATAAATCTTCAAATTACCCACCCTTTGCTTTGTCGCATTATGTAACTTTTTTCTTTACTAAATAATTCTATATATTGCTTTATATATTTGATGTCTTCCGTATGTATCTAAAATGTAGAGGTAAGAAAAAAGGGGAAAAAATTAATGAGATGTGTGCGGTGTGTCCAAACTTTTGACTGGTTGTGTATGTGGACTTTAAAAGCTGGTGTTTGACTACTAACTAGCAAGCTTCATCGGGGCTTGTGTACTTGGTAGCAAAAGTTTTATTCTTTGATATATTTTACTCCTAGATGTCTCAATTTCTATCAACAATTAGATTTTTAGATTTTACATGCTTTAAAATAACCACTCTTTGCTTTGAATAAAGCTTTGAACTTAGCTTAGCTTTTCTGTTCAAAAAGAATAGATAATAATAGCTTAAAATAATAATAGCACTCTAAAGTTTCAATTTTGTACATGCACTAACCATCTTATGTCACATTTTTTGTATTCACAGGATCTCAGCTTTGTCCAGGTAGAAGTTACTACAGTGGTGGACACAGCCCTCATTGCAGATGTTTTCTTTGGTGTGAATGGTGACTGGATCTGTCATTTTTAAACAGCAGAATCTAACGAATAATGTATTTTGTTTAGTCTCTGGTTTGAATGTGTGTGTGAGACGATCATGAGCGAAGGACTGTGTGTATGACAAATGACAATGAAATCTGCATTTTTAAATATCTTGTTTACGATTATGCCCGTGATGAACCTTAAAATTAAAAAAGTATTTCTATTATATAAAATGTACTGTTTCATTATTTTGAATGTGTACATAAGTTGTTTCAATTTCACAGTTGGCACCAATAAAGCTTTTTAAAAAAAACACAGGCAATGGCAACAGTTTCAAGCTGATTTTATTCATGCATGTTTTTCTCACTGCGTGCATAAAAACACATACAACTGCTTAAAGATGCGCTATGTAACTTTTCTGATGGGGAGTCTGACACCTATTTTTATTCTTTTATGTTGAAAAACATTACATTCATACTTCTCCACAGATCTGACCTGTAACTCGGCCTGGTGGCATCGGCATTGCCCTGTGTCCCCATGGAGATAGTAGATGGTAATGCCATACTGTAGAACATTCAATTCAACATTTCCATGGAGACAAGCAGGTGGCAAATCCGTGTATCATTCGTTCATTCGTTTTTCAATATAAAACCAAAAATAAGAAAACGAAAAAACAACAGTTTTCTTCGTTATTTGTCTCCAAAACCAAAATGAAAAAACGGATAACGATTCGTTTTTTCAGTTTTTCGATTTTGTGTTTAAATGAAGAATGGAAAAAACGGATAACGGCCGTTTCCCGTTTACGTGACTTCCGTGACTGCGATGCCGAACTTTTGCACCGCATACGGACTGAACCGGGACTGATCCAGGTCCGAGACCAGACCGAGACCAGAGCGGGACTGAGACCGGGACCAGACCGGGACCAGAGCGGGACTGAGACCGGGACCAGACCGGGACCAGGGCGGACTCCGAGCTTTGACTCCGAGCCTCCACGGGGTCCGAGCCTCAGCTTGGAGCTCCGGCCCTGCCGTGGGCTCTGAGCCTCCGGTCTGGTCCCGGTCTTGTCTCGATCTCGGTCTCAGGCCCGCTCTGGTCCCGGTCTGGTCCCAGTCTCACCGCATACGGACTGAATCAGGACGGATCCAGGTCCGAGACCAGACCGAGCTGCTCTGGTCCTCCGCGATCAAGAACCGCGGCTGATTCCGAGGTGGTGCAAAGCCTCCGACTGACGCTTTCACCCCAACGAAAACGAACCGAACTAAGAGCTTTTGGTTCAGATGGACCAGGTCCGGGACCAGAGCGCTACTGAGACTCAGTCCCGGTCTCGGTCCCGCTCTGGTCCCGGTGTCAGTCCCGCTCTGGTCCCGGTCTGGTCCCGGTCTCAGTCCCGCTCTGGTCTCGGTCTGGTCTCGGACCTGGACAGTCCCGGTTCAGTCCGTACGAGGTGCAAAAGTTCGGCATCGCAGTCACGGAAGTCACGTAAACGGGAAACGGCCGTTATCCGTTTTTTCCATTCTTCATTTAAACACAAAATCGAAAACTGAAAAAACGAATCGTTATCCGTTTTTTCATTTTGGTTTTGGAGACAAATAACGAAGAAAACTGTTGTTTTTTCGTTTTCTTATTTTTGGTTTTATATTGAAAAACGAATGAACGAATGATACACGGATTAAATCACACCAGAAAATTTGCACAGTGCACCTTTAAATATAGATTAAACCTATTTAATTTTGTATGTATATGGCTGTGTTTCATTTTACTATATCCTGTCATGTGAAGGGAAAAGTTACAATTGTTTTTAAAAGTATACATGTTTGGTGTAGGACATATGTAATGCATATAGAATCAACTAAAATATAAACTGAAAAATTATTAATCAATGCCAAATATTTAGATGTTTTATGTGTCATTACATTAGAATTGTACATTGGGATAGTGACAAGTAAAAGTGTTACTTAAAAGGGATTTGGGGTGAGTAAAGCAGAAGACTGAATTACTCTTGCATGTTGCTATAATGGCCAACTCCATGTTTAGGAGCACTGTGGTCTCTCCACTTCACTAATGAGTCTGAACAAAAAGTGCTGTGAAAAATAAAATGGATTACACATAATAAATTATATTTATATATTAAGTTCTCTCCCAGGCCAGTCTCAGCTGGGAACGCCTCCGGGTCCCCCCGGAGGAGCTGGAGGACGTGTCTGGGGTGAAGGAATTCTGGGAGTCCCTGCTTAGACTGCTGCCCCCGTGACCCAGCCCCAGAAAAGCAGAAGAAAATTGATGGATATTAAGTTAAGAAATAAGTATTAAATTATGTTAGATGATTTGGACACGTATAGAGTAGGGAGAGAGAATACATGGTACAGAGGAGGGACAAAGAAAAGGTTCACATGAAGTTGGTGTGAGAAAAGGGATGCAAACTGACAGAGGAAAGTGAAAACATTGCATCATGTCTGTTTTTTGTTTTGTTCTGGGTTTTTTTTTCTCCTTGATTTTTCCTTTATTTTATTGAAAAATTAAATGAAATTTAAAAAGCTTTCAGCATTGATTTCATGAACATAGACATACAATGCCATTTAAAACAAAAATAGTGAAATTTCTTCCCCCAATAATGTAACACCAAAACACATGTATTTACTGATACAGGATTGAATGAGAACCTCTCATCTAAAAAATTCAACCATATCATTGATGATTAATTTGATAGATTGCCCAGACCTATGTACTTCAAATTTACATCTGGGGGTCACAGACCACTTGAATGGCGGTAGAGGAATACCAGGGAAGTACAACTCCACACTGAAGCAGAGCTGCCTCTGCCCCATTACAGTCGGAGAAGAAATTCCACATCATAATCACTTTTGGGAGTTTGATTTTTGATGTAGAAACTGCATTACCACAGCCCAGCTGTCTGCACACGATTGAGGCATGTCTCATGTCCCACTTATTATTCTCTGCAGCGATCATCCTTTGGGACCCCCATTCCTTCACAAAAAGGGTCCCTGAGCACACAGTGTGGCCAGTGTCTCGCACTAATCCATTGTCCAGCATAACATCCTCTGCATCTAACAATAACAAAACAAAAGCTTACAACATGTTTTAATATATTAAAAGAAAGAAGCCTCTGCTCTGGTTTAAACAGTACTACAATCACAGCTGACTCTCAGGAGCCAGTGCCAGTTAAAGTGAGGGAGTGGTAAATCTAAAGAGTACATGCTACTTGCTTGTCTCCATTGAGATAACATTGCCTTTACTACAGTTTTCCACAGTATGGCATAAAATTAAGTTAAATGCTGTATTGTTGGACATTCCAAATGAAGTAATAGCATTCCAGTGGATGCAGGTGGCATATACTTTTAAAAGTTACATAGTGCAGCTTTAATCTGCATAGAGGACACTTACACATTTTTGTCATTCTCCATATGGACATAAGTCTCATAAGAAAGCTCAGAGCATCCAGAGTTTCCTCACTGAGCTGCAGAGGCTGCACTGAGCAATGACTGGCAGCAAGTGTTGGGGTTTAAATACTGACAATTCAGAGAGGAAATGTCCTCTAGAATTAAACCAACTTGGGCATTAGAATTATCTTATTGGATGAATGTTATTATATCAAAAATAAATAAATAAATAAAGATATAGCCCCTTCAATTGGGTTTATGATGGGTTGGGGTTATTATGGGTCTGTTTCAGGGCTTATGAGATGCTTATGAGGCACTTATCAAAAAAAAAAAAAAAATCATAATATTTCTCTAATAAGAAATTTCACAACTAAAAACAGCTATTTTGTAGATGAATAGTAAATTTGTACCTTCCACTGCCACAGACAGCTTCCGGCTTTGTGAGGAGAAGTGGCGTCCAGCCACAGTGTTGTGATAGATGCACTGGTACACCCCAGAGTGGGATTTTTCTGTCGAAACAAACCTGAAGATGGCCGTGTGATTGACAGCAGTTTGGTTCTGAGTGTGAGTGGTTTTGCCTCCAATGAAGACCAGACTAAAATGGCCTCCAGGCAACTGTGGAGGCACTGAACAGTTAATGTAGAAGGTGTAGGGGCTGAAGATGATCACAGGGTCTTCTCCTGTGCAGTTTCTCTCAGATTCAACCTTGATGACAGCTGGAAGAAGTATGTCTGTGAAGAAGCACATGGCACTGTTTAAGATTGGATATTTAAACAACTATTTATGCTAAAATTCACTCAGTCAAATGTAACTGTTCTGTTACATAAGGTTTTCAAAAACAAACCACAAGCTGTACTCAGTGCTGTAAATCACAAGAGTTAATTCACATACACAAATTCAGACACACAGTTGGATCTCCATGTGCAGACAAACACCAGCGGCTCTGGGCTCACCTGAGCACAGCACGTGGATAGTGGAGGTGGACATGCCTTCCCTGACAAAGCCACAGCCCAGCAGAGCCCTCTCAGAGCCCTCACAGTTGGAGTAGAAATTCCACACAGGCTGCAGCTCCTTCACACTGCTCTGTGTGTGTGTGTGCACCACAGAACCACAGTCCAGCTGTCTGCACACCACTGCAGCCTCCTTCAGAGTCCACAGCTGCTGCTTCACAGGCCTCCACATTCGCTGGTGTTCTACCTCAAGAGTACCCAGGCACCTGCTCTTTGTTCCCACTAAACGCACATATGACGACTCTAAAAAGGAACTCATATAATCATTCACATATAATCATAACACCACAAGGTGGCAGATGGCCAATGTTCAAACACTTTTTTACCTTTGATATAAAAGTAGTCCATGCTATCAGAGCAGAAGGTGTTTGGTTTCATCTCAAAGTTGTACAGGCACCAGTACAATTGCTTGGTGGCGGTCATTACTGGGGGCAGAAAGAAGTGAGCTGTGTTGTCCTGGGCTGGCTGGGTGAACTCAGTTTCGTTGTTGTTGTTGTCATCATCATCTCGGATCCGAAGCACAAATGAGCGAACTTTAAATGGAGCATTGATGCTGCATTTGATCACATAGGGATGGCCCTTATACACACTTGACTCGCCCTGAGTGGAGTAGACATTGATCATTGGGGGTGCTGGTTTTTCTGTGGAATAAAAAAAGAATAATTGATTTTTTTGTTTTTACCAGCACACCTTTGTGGCTTTACAAGTTAATTTAAAAAAAAGTCCTATATTATGCTCAATATATAATCAAGATATTAAGGAGCTCCTGAAGTGCCTTAAACAAATTATCTTTTCACAAGGAAGTATGATGTTCCACTGTATGATATTAAACATCTATTTCCATGGAGACCAGAAGACTCCACCAAGCATAATTTTATGTAAGATCTGTGGAGAGGTGAGCTGGCTCCCGGTAAAAA